AGTGATAAATCACACCCAGGAAGTTATTGTCTAATATCGTCTAACGTTCAATGTTATCTTCAAGCCATGAGCATGATGCACACACACTCACATACACACACATTCATTAATTTAGCACTTTATTAATTTTGTCTGTGTTATACAGTTTTCTGTATAAGATTTCTATATATATTTTGTTAGCTTTATATCTAAGTCCATTCTGTTTTCTATTGCTATTGTGAATGGTATATATTTTTAGAAACTGTATTTGTAAGGCCAGCAGGTGTCATGGTGGTTAAGCTGTTGGACTCCCACAGGCCACCCATGGTTTGAATCCCAGACATGAAAGCTTGAGAATAATGCTGGGCACATGTGTTTGCACGCCCCAAATCCTGAAACAAGAATAGGAAGGAAGAGAGCAGTGTGACCATCCCTCCTGGGGGTAATTTCTCACTTCCTCTCCCTCTATATCTCTCTGGCAAGCACACATGCCCTGTGCCAAAACCCTAAAATAAATAAATAAATAAATAAAAACCTGTCATTGTTATTGCTATATTTGTGTATAAGGATACTGCTGACTTTTTGGATTAAAAAAACAAACAAACAAACAAAAAAAAACCCAGAAAAGTCACGGATTTTCTGATGACCTACTGAAGATAGTCAAGTTGTAAGGAACGTTTGGAAGCCTGAAGAAAAAGAGATACTGCAAATGAGGTGGGGTTTTTTCCTTTCTTTTTTATTTTTTGGAAAGTGGGGGGGTCAGCAGTTAGTGTAATGGCTATGTCACTGGACTCCCATGTAGGCAACCACGGTTAGAGTCCCAGACCCGGTGGCTTAAACTCATGCCGGGTGCATGTGCGTGCCCAAGATCCCAAGAGGGGAATGGAGGAGAAGGGATTGCAGCGTGGCCATCACCCCCTGGGGGGGGGGGTTTCGCACTTTCTATCTCTCTGTCTCTCTCTGTCTTTCTGGCGAGTGCACGCCCCCTGTAGCATAAACCTCCCCAAATTAAAAAAAAAAAAAGAAAGTGGGAATACAGTAGAAAATGTAAGAAGCATTCATACACTTTTAATTTTAGAAAATGTGGTGTGAGCATTCTGCAATCCCTTGTAGTTTATTTCTCCATCCTGTTAGGATTTGGGGCACACATGCACATATGCCTGGCATGTTTCCCAAGCTGCAGGCCTGAGATTTAACTGAGGTTGCCCATGTGGAATCTGGCTCCCTTAACCACTAGGATACAAGGATGTCCCCAAAGTAAAATTTCAATCACTGTACAAGTTTGGACATGGAAATTATAGGTTTTAGATTCCTGACACCAGATAAAACTCTGATCAATCTTGTCATTAGAATACTGTAGAATTTCTTCAAAATATTACAACAAGCTCTCTGCTTCTGGCCAGTGATTTTCCTTATCTTGCTGTGAAGTTATCTGTATTTTTTCAAAGTGGTTTGTTATATATTTTACCTACTGTATCTTGAAATTCTGGGTAGTAGTTTGTTATCATGTCCACCATTTTTATAGAAATTGAAATTGTGTGTGTGTGTGTTTGGAAAAGTTACTTTATATATATATATATATATTTTTAAGTTACTTTATATTTTGAGCCACTGTTTGTTAACCTCTGTCTGTATTATTGAGATACTAATATGAACTATATAGAGTTGTTTAGAAGATAAACACGGTGATGTATAAACAAATGATTAGTTCATTGAACATTGGTTTGTTTTTATTTCTCAGAATTGTATTCCTTGCATTCATATTAAGTAGCCAGTAAGTAATTACCATGTGTGCATAGCATTACATAAATGGCAAACCAAGAAAATGTTCATGAATTTTAGGCAGGTCTTTTTCCAGAATCTCAATAGATTTGTCTAATCACAATATGAATATTGAATTAAACATCAAAGGTTGTAGGATATGGCTTTGTGATTAAATATTATGATTACATTTGTAATCACAGTTATTGCAGTGTGATATTTCAAATGCAATGACACCTGGAGTTGTTGAGGTAACGGCTCATGTTGTCATAACATCATGTCTAATACACATTGCATAACCGTCAAGTTAATTTATAATATACAATGTGGGTCACACAATCAGCTTGAGGTCAATAAAATCTGATTGGGCTACCACACCATGGTCATAAAGCTTTATTGTAAATTTGCTTTTAAAATGCAGGTAAGGTTTTAAGAATAACGCTGTTTTTTTTACATTCTTATTTTCTGTTATAATTTTCTTATTAAATATGTATATCATTTAGAGTCAGGTTTTTTTTTTCTTAATACACCCACTTTATCACCTCCAATCTGCAATCTGGAAATCAATACTGTTCTCTTGGCACCTTCTAACATCATAAGCAATTAGATATTTGGAATATAAACTTAGCTTAAAATTGTGTTGACAAGTGAGCTGGCCACAGCTGTCCTAGAATCCGTAGCCAACCACAGTAAGAATGTATTTGAAAGTAATCAGACATGATTAAAGTGCAAGACAAACCAGAAATCAAATCACTCAGTTATTGAACAGAGAAGTGTAATTTTAAGTAAGTATTTTTGACTCTAATACATTTTGAAAAAAATACAAAAGCAAGAGGAAAGCATTGCTATGCATTCTCACAGTCAGATGCAAATTATGTTAAAAATAATAAAAAGGAACTGTCTCTAGCTCATACTAACGGTTGAATAAATATGCATAAATTAATTCATTTTTTGAGTATACTGTTTTACATAGGTAATAATTAGAGGTAATAATTAGTACTAAGAAGGTGAAGAATTAGACATTATTTTGCTTAATTTATGTAAAAGTTAATGATTACTTTGTGTGAGGCACTGCAACTTCATGTTTTGCATGCATTTTGCTCCTCACTACAAACCTGACTTACATAATGAAGCCCAGAAAGTTTAAGCAACTCATTCAAGTTCACACATCAAATAAATCAGAGTCAAGATTTGATCCAAGGCAATGTGGCACCAATTCTTTACTTACTGTCTTCATAGAAATGGAGACACAAATTAATAACAGGAAAATAGATATTGTGGGGGCTGGCAGGTGGCATGGTCACTAAGACACTGGAATCCTACGTGGTTGACCACAGTTTGAATCCCAGACCTCGCAGCTTGCATTCTCTCTCTCAGCTCTCTCTGGTGAGTGCACATTGCCCTAGAGAAAATTAAAAATAATAATAATAATTTTTAAAAAGCAAATAATTCTTAAAAAAGAGAAAAATGTATTTTATTAAATAAAAATGATGAAGCTGTTCCTAACATTGAAGAACTTTATTTACATTGGGGAATTCTGGGTAGGTCCTGTTACTACAGTGTGTATGTGTGTGTGTGTGTGTGTGTGTGTGTATGTGTGTGTGTATGCATGTAGGTGTCGTATGGATTGTGTGTCTGTATATGTGTGTCTGTCTTGCTCTAACATTTGCTCTCAATGATCAGATTTTGATAGGAGGGCTTTTCTGGATATGGCCTAGAGGACAGGCTGTAGAAAAGAAATGCAGTACACCTTCGGCAGCATAATCTGAACTGAGTTTGCTACTAGAAATGAGGTAGTGCCTTAGACTGAAGAAGACCCACTCTGGGAAATATGCTGTCACATGTTGAAATTGCCTTTCTAGGGACCAGCAATTACCATAATGGCTATGTCGCTGGACTCCCACGGAGTCGACCGCGGGTCAAGTCCCGGGCCCAGTGGCTTAAACTCATGTCGGGCGCGTGTGCATGTGTGTCCAAGATCCCGAGAGAAGAATGGAGGAGAAGGGATTGCAGCGTGGTCATCCCCCCGGGGGGGATGATTTCTTGCTTTCTGTCTCTCTGTCTCTCTCTGTCTGTCTGGCGAGTGCACGCGCCCTATAGCAAAAACCTCTCAAAAAAAAGAAAGAAAGAAAGAAATTGCCTTTCTATTTCAGAAGCTGACAACTGCCCCCTGAGACATGATAAGGTTTTTATGAGAAGCAACATTTTACCTGTCAATCATTCTACAAAAAGTGTGATACTTTGGTAGAAGACAAGGAGGAAAAGACTCCTTAATGTGGTTATTTTCAAATTGATCAGATCAAGAAGTAGAAAAGATGCCAGGAATTTTGTGATAAGATCACAATTTTTTTAAAAATTTTTTGAAGAATTATTTATTTAATTTTATTTACTCATTCATTTATTTTAATTTGACCAGAAAGAGAGAGAGAGAAAGAAAGAAAATGAGAAAGCAAGCCACAAGCCACCAGGTCTGGACAGTGGTTGGCTATGTGGGAGTGTCTAGTGCCTTAGCCACCACACCAGCTGCTGATCCCTCAGATCACAACTTTTGCATGTGGGCTCCAAGAGTGATCATTTCTAGGAATATTTAAAACATTTTCTGACTGGTAGGTCAGCATGCCACTGTTGACTACTAGAGAAGGCAGGTTCCCCTTTCTGAGGCTGGCACATGTCTGGACAGTGGCTCCCTAACAGAGAGTCCCGAGTGCTGCAGGAATGTGGACACACAAGGGCACTGGTGTTAGGGTAGGAGCAGAACAAGGCAGCTAAAGAACACAATTACGAGGATTTTCCCAGAGTGCCATTAGTCTGTTAGCTAAAATCACTCCAAAAAATCCAAAGAAACGTTTCGAGACAACTGATTTTGCATTATTACACTAGTGATGGATTTGTGACAAAAGATTTACGTAATCATAGCACAAATGCATATGAGGGAGAAAGAAAAACACCTTTGACAGGGTCTTGTCATGCTGTGATCCCCTTTTCTTAGCCCTCTAGCTCCTGAGCATTTGGGGACTTGTACACAAACCTGATATATTTTCAGGGCAACCCAGTGAATCTCAATCCATGAGCCTATAGTCGGCCATGCGACTTTCAACATTGTAGTCCAATACACTACAAACCATCCCACATAGGCTAGGTCAAGTTTACTTTTTTAATGGCGATTCTTCTTCCAGCACGATTACCATGCATGTCAGTCAAAACAAAGCCGCTAGAGCTTTGCGCAGTGGCAGTATCGTAGCCCGAAACAAAGCCGCTACAGCTTTGCGCAGTGGCAGTATCGTAGCCAATGAGGTTTATCTGAGGCGCAATCATTGCTAATTGAAAACAAAGCCGTTACTATATACATCAGCAGCAGTGAATAGCTTTTCATTATTTTTCCAGATTCTTTAATTTTTAATTTTTATTATTCTTATATTTTTAAACCCTCGGTCACCATACATCATTTGGCTTGTAAAAAGAATTTGCCCAACATGAAATAGGTCTCAGACCTGTCCAGTTGAGAATACTATACATGCTATCATCAACAGGTAATAAACCATTTCTCTAACAAATGTCATGCCTATTTATTTTTTCTACCTGATTTTCTTCCCTATACTCTTCCCTCCTTCCCTTCCCTTGCCTCTGTTACACTAGAACATTTCAGTGATGGTCCAAGAAAACAGTTAACAGGGGTGAGGCCATTTAGAAGGCCTTAAGCACTCATCAACAGCTATGAATTGTTACCAAAATTACTTAAGTTTGGACTCTAATATGATAAGAATTTGGGAATTAATAAATATAGGATCAGAACTTCAGTCAATGAGAACAAGTCTCCATCAGTTCTAAATCAGAGGGTGTCTCATTGTCTCATCACCCAGTAGGAAGAAGAGGCATACAGCCACTGACAGTTCATATCAATACTGAAAAACACTGAAGTACTTTTTACTCTGCTTTAAAAAATCTGTACGAGTCAACTTTAATTTCTATCCTGTACAATGCATGGATCAATTTAGCATTTTTAAAAAAATTTGCTCAATACTTTATACGTGATTACATTAAAGCACTTGCATTACTGAATATTTTTAATTACAGTAATTTTCTCCTGTAATGTCTTTTCCTTCACTGTTCTGTGGGCCTTCTGGTAGAATTTAAAATTATTTATTGGATTTTATTTGATTTAAACAACAGCACTTTATACGTGATTACATTAAAGCACTTGCATTACTGAATATTTTTAATTACAGTAATTTTCTCCTGTAATGTCTTTTCCTTCACTGTTCTGTGGGCCTTCTGGTAGAATGGGAGAGTTTGAGATGTCACTAACAAAGATGTCCCAAAGTCTGATTCTTCTGTGCCATACTCTGGACCACCACTTGGGCTAGAGTGTAGACTGTGGTTTGGAAAGGACAGGAGAATGCTGTTGTGTTGAAACAAATAGAATTCTGAGTCTTACTCTTTCCTCCTTTTACCTGGTAATATTAAGCGAATCACTTTGATAACACGAAATTAACTATTCCTTCTGATAGATGAGGATAATTTCTAGTATACAACTAGGACTTCTATTAATTAATACTGCAGCAAAGCAAATCACCCCTTAAATTAATGGTTTAAGATCATGATTATTTAATTAGTGCTTATGTGTGGGTGTTCTAGGTAGTTCCTCTACTCTGAGATCATTAGTTTGGGGTTGGCTTATCTATAATGATCTCTCATGCCTGACCTTAGCTAGTGTGTCTCAGATAGCTGGAATCAGCCTTCTCATGGCCTTTCTTCTTCCAGGAAATTAACTCAGGGTAATTCACATGATGATGGAAAACCCCAGAAGTAAATGACTGAGCACCTTTTGATTATCTGCTCTTCTTAGGGATGCTAATATTCCACTGGCAAAACTAAGTCTCATAGCAAAGCACAAGTTAATCAGATAAATGAACTCCTCTTCTTCAAAGGTGTTTGTGACCATTTTTTGTAGTCTCAAGAGAATGGTTTTGCATATTATTGAAAATAAATGCAAAGTGCTTGTCATGTAATAATAATTAAATACGTGTTGTTTTTTATTTATTTTTTTCCTTTTTTGAAAGAAAGATTTTTTTGCTTTAGAGCACATGCACTCAACAAAGAGACAGAGACAGAAAGTGAGAAATCACTTCCCAGGGCAATGGCCATGCCACAATCACGGCCATGCCACAATCCCTTCTCCTCCATTCTCCTTTCAGGATCTTGGGCACAAATGCATATGCATCCAAGTGAGTTTTAAGTTGCCATGTCCAGGGCTTAAACCATGGTCGACTACGTGGGAGTCCAGCAATGGAATCATTACACCATCTGCTGGTCCCTATACATATTCTTAATGTGGCTTTCTAGTCACACATTTTATCACCCTACTATTTAACAAACATTAAAAAAAAATACTGAGGGTAAGACTTTTTAAATTAAAACCACTTTTTAAAAACATTGCCAGGGAGGAGGCAGCAGGTGGTTTGGTGAAGGTGCCCAACTCCCACATGACCAGCTATGATTCACATCCCAGACCTGGCAGCTTACTTTCTCATTTTCCTTCTTTCTCTCTCTCTCTGTATATGTGTGTGTGTGTGTGTGTGTGTGTGTGTGTACGTGCGCGCCGGCGTGCCTGGAGAGCATATGTGCTCTCTGGCTAATTAAAAATAATAGTAATAATAAAAAAATTAATAAATAATTCTTTTCACAAAAATTACCAGAGGGTGTGTGCTTGCCAGAGATAGAAAGACCAGAGGAAAGGGGTGTGGGAGGAAGAAAACAGCCCTTTTGGGGCGTGGGCATACCACAATGCCTTTTCTTTCACTGCTCCATCCCGTGGGGATTTGGGGCATGCATGCACATATGTGGAGCATACTTTTTCAAGCCTCCAGGGTCAGGATTCAAAGCGCAGTTGACCAACTGATCAATTAAAATCCTTTTATCCCTTGAGGTTCTGCTTGTGCTTGAAATTAGAAAGTCACTTCCACTTCCTTGCTCTCCCAAATTTTCTTCCTTTTTGAGGTCCCAGCCAATGTTCCCAGCTAAATCACAGCCTATAGTTTATTACATAAGTAACACTCCATCTCATGTTTTAACTTACATATTTTATGACAGGTTTTGTACCACTCGCTCCCCAAATAGCTTTTTAAAAAATAATTATCTATTTAATTTTATTTATTGTCATTTCTATTTATTATTATTTTAATTTTTACCAGAAAGAGAGAGAGGAGAGTGAGAAAGCAAGCCACTAGATGCAGGACTTGAACCTCAATAGACCATGTGGGAGTCCAGCACCTTAACTAGCATGTCACTTGGCGGTCCCCCAACTAGCTTTTAATTCCTTTGAATACAAAGATGGGTCATATTTCTCTGTTGAAATTAGTGGTACCTAGCAGAGGGATAGATCTAAATTTTAGATCTTAAACAAGAAGATTCAAACTTATTTCCCAATCCTATTTCATACCACTGCATTTAATACACAGCAGTCTAGTACTGGTTTAGTTAAAATAGAAGGGCATTGTGACATGATCCCTAAAATACAGTACAGGATTTGAGCACTGGCATTGTGACTATGAAAAGTTATTCAACTATTATGGGGGCCAGCAGGTGATGTGGTGGTTAAGGTACTGGACTCCCACATGGCCCAGCATGGTTTAAGTTCTTGATTCGGTGACTTAAAACTCGCTCAGGGCATGTGTGAAGGGATTGCAGAGTGGCCATCCTCTCTGGGGGTTTTTCACTTTCCCTTTCACTGTCTATATCAGTCTCTGACAAGTGTACGCACCCTGTGGCAAACACCTAATTTTTTTTTTTTCATAAAGAAAAGCTATTCAACTTTTATTAGCTTGTTTCCTACTAACCAAGTAGTAAACCATACTGTATACTAATAATATAAAATATTACCTGGCAAAATAAAAATAATTAACCCCACCACCCACCATATATTTTTCTGGCTTCACTTTTTTAAAGATATTTTATAAAAACCTATATTTTTGTAGTTGTTTGTAAAATGTCCTCTACTCCAGTTGTGTATATTGTGTCTCAAACTTCAAGAAACATTCACATCACTTTTTTTTTTTTTTTTGGAGAGGATTTCGCTATAAGGTATGTGTGCTTGCCAGAAAGACAGAGAAAGACGGAGAGAGACAGAGAGACAGAAAGTGAGAAATCATCCTCTTCTCCTCCATTCTCCTCTCAGGATCTTGGGCATGCACACACATGTGCCCGACGTGAGTTTAAGCCACTGGGTCCGAGACTCGAACTGCTGTTGACTACATTATATATATATACACACATGTGGTGGCAGGGCTTCCAAGCACATAACTGTTCTGACAATACTACTTACTCTTATAGTTATGATCTCTAAGTACTTTACCATTTAAAAATAAAGTTAATTAAGATTGGAATTCGTGTTTATCTTTAAAATATAATAGAAGTACTTCCAAAATGGTAGAGTAAATAAGGATAGTTGACTATACAATAAAAGCAATGAGAACACTAGCAAAAATTGTCAAAATTAACCTTCAGACTCTAAATTAACAAAGACTCACAACAGTCTGGTGAGCATTCATTTAAGAAAAATAACTGAAACTCATTACAAACTGTGTTTTCTAGTGTTTTAAATTTGTCCTAATGCCAATTTCTCTTCAACCCTGGGTATCTTTGAAATCCAGCAGTATTATGATCAGAGTAATTGTCAAAACAGCAAACTGGAAACCAATGGAAACGGTAAAACTGGTATACATGTTCCCCCAAAGCCACATAAGTATAACATTGTTATTATTAACCTGTCCGGAATTTCCCATAATAATGCCATTTATAGGACGTTTGGTGTCTGTACATACCTCAGTACATACTTAGTGTACAACATTCCTACTGTATGGGCATCTGTTGACAACGATGATCATTATTTATACAACAGCTGCAACAGATAAAAGGTTGACCAAAAAAGTAAAAACCTGAGGAATCAGATGTTCGTAGATGGCATTGAATAATTCTAACAAGTTTCTGAGACTGTAGAGCAGAAGTCATAAGTGCACACTTCTGTGAGTGTTCTGGACAAATGATAAGGGAACCTAATCTCACCATTGACTGACTTACCCTTGCCTGACTTGAGGTTCTGCAGAGTAAGTGAAGGCTACAACACAGTTGCAAACAGTTGGGAGTTCTGAAGGCATGTGATTTGATTCAAGTGATCTATTTGTTCAAGTAATTTAAAAGTGTCACTGTCCAGCCATTATATGGTTACTAAAGGAATAATTAGCAAAATGAAAATAAATTTATATTGGCATAAAAGAAATAAAACTTTCTGTTTGAAGATGATATGAATGTATTCATTGAAAATCCTAACAAATTCACAAAAATAGTACTAACAGTAATATGACACCATGCAATAGAATAAATTAATTCAGCCAGGTTG